ATGTTTAGGTTAGAATTCGTTTTATTTAACTACAATTTTAAATACAACTTTAAAATATTTTCACTCTTAGTTTTAATAGACTATATTTCTTTTTAAAAGAAGTAAATGTATTAGAATTACTTACAGTAAGTAAAATTATTTTTCCATATCAAGTATAAGTATGTATATTACGATTTTTAAATTTTTTTATTTAAATATAATTTAAGTAAAATTTATGACACTTACGGCAAAAATAGCTAATTAATTTCTCTGATTTAGCAAACTTTATTTTATTTTTTTATTTTTTTATAAACTTAGTTATCTATAGTTTCACATGTATGTACAAAGGCCTACATCTTCTAGCTTTTCATCATAATTTCATTTTTCAGTAGGTGTTTTATTGGATTCATTTAAGTGCAGATAGTACTTTGAGAGAGGTGTTTAGGTAATAATGTTTTTTTTTGTTTATATATATATATATATATATATATATATATATATATATATATATATATATATATAACGTATTACAATGAATCCTGATAGCAGAGGGGTAAGGAAATGAAACAATTTTGCAAAGTTTTTAATTTAGTGCCGACTGATTTTTAATACAGCCATGACTTCCAATTTTTTTGTCGCCTTTATTGCTACTCCATTGCGTTACTATTTACATTTAATCATTTTCTACAATAAATTTTAATATTTCTGTCTCCGGAAGAAAATATTGATGAGTAAAACAGTGAATTATACCATTTTAAACCTTAAATTTATGCCATTTAACTCTGTGTGTACATAAATGAAAATCAGAGTAAAATTGATTGTTAGAGGAAGGAATCAATTCAAGCGCTAGGGTTATTAAATTATATAAAAATTAACATATCTTTGAATGTAATGAATAAATGAAAGAGAATTTTACATTTCAAGGAACTAAAAATGCTCATGAGTAATTATTATCCGAATAAAACTCTTTATTATTCATTGCGATTTTGAAAGGAAAACGTTAATTTTTGCATTATTATTGAAACAAATATTAAGTCAATAAAAATCAATATCTTTATTAAAAAAATGTCGTCAGTTATTCAGAATATGCAACGAAAAGTTGCAAATTTAAGGTGTGTTGTGTCTTTGTTTAAATCCCATATACTAAAACATCTTAACATTTTATGACCATTGAGTTACAAAATAATCGGAATTTCTGATCTGAAAAGAAACCTTGCGAACATCAAATTACAGCAAGCTTCTATTTTCAGTTTCCTCGTATATTTAAAAAAAAAACGAAATTTTTCTGGTCTAAGGGAAGTATCTCTTCAGAGACTTTATTGGAGTTATGCCCCTTTATAATAACCGCTTATTAAACGAGAATAAATCTTGCAGAACTTATAAAACTGATAAAAAATTGGTTAAATATATTCATTAAATATAAAACAAAACTTCATTTCATATTTTTTTAATTCTTGCATATCAGATGTTTTTATAAGATTGTCTAATAACGAAAGTAATACATATTTTTGTCAAAAAAAAAAAGGAAAAAAACTTCTATAGACAAATTTTATTAGCTTAATGATAATCTACTTTTGAGAAAATTAACACTTAATGTATTTAAACACAGATATCTATATTTTTCTAAGCATTATTATATCATTTATTCTTTAAATACATGCAATTACGATTTAATTAATTAATTTAATTATAATGTTCTAGTTTGTTTAATATATAATTCAGTTTGAAAAACATTTTTCTCTTACAGTTTCAACATTTCTTAATCCTTTTTTATAAGAAAGTCTGAAAACAAATCATCGGTCGATATCAGAGAGAAAAGAAACAATGTATCAATAATGAAGTAATAAATTTATATATATATATTTTTTTTATTTTACAGGGAAAGATGAAAATAAAGTTTCAGAAAGTGAAAAACATCTCGGTTCAAATATCATTTAATGGAAATAAGACATTCATATACATACAAATACAAACAAAAACATTTGCACACACACCCCCACTATCTATCTATCTATCTATCTATCTATCTATCTATGTTATTCTTATCTATCGAAAATGAATTAAAGGAATCTGTAGACTTATTAATTTCAACCCAAACAAGGCGGGAATGCCACTAGTACGCAGGGGGTTACAGAGAAGGAAGGTGAGAGAAAAGACTAGATATCCCACTAGACTGAGGAAAGGATAAAAACTGAACAATAATTTGTTGTGCCATTTCTGTTGCTTCAAGTCTCTTCTTTATATGTAAGGAGATTATCTATTATGTACTGCCATACAAGAAAGCTGATATTACGTAATAGTTCAGAACACTTTTCTTTGTTTCTAACGAAATTTTACACAACGGTTCTGTAATTACTGAGAAAACGAAGAGATTTCATTTTAAAAAGTTGATTCTCTTCCCATCAAATTCTCAGCCATAATCTCTCCCTCTTAGCGAAGACACTGGTCATAGATTGTCACAAGCAAAAGCATTAGAAGTTTCTCTCATTCACTTTTCTTTGTTTCTCAAATTCACTGACAAGTAGACGGTAAAAGTTCCCTCCGAAGGTTAACAAGGACAGCCAATTCAGACCATAAAAACTGTGTTATTTAAGACTTTGAGAAGAAAAAGATTTTTCTACCGGTAAAAGACGGATATTTGATTTTCAATATCAATCAACTGTGACATTGTTAAGTTGGTTATAAGAAAGCTGTGGAATCCAGCATTCCGATACAACCGTCGAGGTCAAGAAACTACGATGGTGGTACCACTTTCGTAATAACAAAAAACATTCTAATTTCTGCTATGTCTTCCCAGAAAAATATCTCTTGCAAATCCCTCTATCACATATATTCTCCTACATACATATCATCTGCGGTTTTTGCATGAATTGGGTAGCATTATTTTGCCCCATCGATTGTGCTTTCTTCTTGAGACACGTCTTGCTTCCAATTATTTTTTTTCGCTTAATGACATTTATAACATTAGTTTGCATTGTTTATTTCTATAAGCTAACCTATTAATTAGTGTAAACAAAATATATAGAGGTGGACGTAAAGAGGTTATTGATTTTGCCTAAATTCATTACATGCCGAGGGGTACCTTCAAGAAAGTAAAGTACAGTGGAATATCAATAAACATGAATAGTGAATTTTAAGCAAGTATCACTTACTGATTATATTTATTCTGATACGATCAAGTTAGTTAACTACAAACTTGTCTCAAGTCAGAATTCATTATGGAGATTAATATAATTTGAAATAAATTCATCTTCAATTAGAACGCTACGAGAATATTCTAGATCAAAAGACTAGAGGAAAAAAGGGATGTTAGGGATAAAAAATACAGAAGACTCACAAATATGAAATAAATAATATGTTGAGGCTACATAATTTCATGGGTTTTAAAAAATATTAATTAAAAAAAAAATGGAAGGAAAAGCAAGTATAAGAAAAATACTACTCACCGTAAAATGGGGAATAAAAATATACAAAAAAAAAAAAACAGCTAAAATAGCCAACACGTTATCATCATCGCTTGTTTGTTTTTACTAATGTTCAATCAATAAATATTTACTAAAAATAGAGAGTAAATGAATGGTGTTTTATGTGTGCATCCAAGAAGTCGATAAGAAATGCTATGAGTTTTGAATAATTGATTAATTTGCTTTTTTTTATGGCTTATCAACCACTTGTGAACTATTACAAACCGAAACATTTTTTATTATAAGAATAATTACATTCTTGAAAGTGAATATTGCATAAACATGTTTTCCAGAATGTCAATCATTTTTCAAAATAGAAATTCTACAATTTAACACATAAGTAGGCATATAGATAGTCATTCTTGTTCCAAGGTTATCTGCACATATGTGAGTGTAATGAATCCGACGGAAATTCGAACTTTACTCTCCGATTTCTCATTAAAACTATTAAACCACCGCACACCCACCAGTTTAAGAGGTTATGTAGGAAATATAAAGGTTATTCCTAGAGTTTACGTGGTTAGGATCCTCTCGGGCAGTTCTTGGGAAGATGCTGTCGGAATGGAAATTCGTTCTTACTAATGAAATACGAAGGAATGAGGATGATTCGTTCCCACGTACGTGGCATGGTGGCTCCATATCGACAGAAAATGTTAGCCCTAGAAGGCGCAATGTCTCATTCTCCTTGAGGTTTTCATCAGGTAACTTGTCTGCTTATTAGACACGTCTGCACCAATGAAAGAATTACCTGTATGAAAACTACAGAAAAATTCACCAAATATAAAGATCCAGGAATAGAAATTAAAATAATTAGAATTATGAAGCCCAGAAGAATATATAGGTATTCTGGGTCTGATTAAGAATGACAGGAAAATACGGCATGAATCCATTTATTTTTACCCAATACGAGTTAAATACACGACTTTTTATAAACGTCTCATTTATAAACAATTTGTAAGCAACTTCACTACAGAACTCAATGTTTCTTAAGGAACTCAAAAAAGAAAAGAAAAAGACGTTAATATGTTAGTTTATATTATACCCCAAAATTCTACCAATTTTACTTGATTAGTTACATTGATATTACTTTCTTTTCTGTTTATTAGATGAACATAGGAGAACAAAACTATGCAGCCATTTAAGTAACTTGAATCATAATTTCCGTCATAAAAATTAAGCAACACATAGTGTTCAAAAATCCTCAGTTAAACCATTGTATAGTTGAGTAGGTCTGGCACTCTGTAGTAGGCTGGCAGTTACTATAAGAGAATGCCCATTCTGAATTCACAACTACAGAGAAGTAACAGGAAATCACTACATTACCATTCCCAAATACTAATAGCAATTCACAAATAATATAAAAGGAACCAAGGATAATGATGATCGCCTACATCTTGAAGCGACAAATTACTTTTTTTAAAAAGTAGTATACATGAGTATATGATGGAAGATAAATGTTAGTTAGGGAAATATTCGTTGTATGTAAGATAAAATAATATATATATATATATATATATATATATATATATATAGAGAGAGAGAGAGAGAGAGAGAGACAATAGATAGATAGATAGATAGATAGATAGATAGATAGATAGATAGATAGATAGATACTTACGAAATTCCTCACGATACTCTGCCGGGCCAAATATGTGGTGATGTTATCAACGCTCTACACTATTTATAAGTAGTCAGCTTGAAAAAAATATTAAAAGAAAAACACTATTCAATGATGGCTTAACAATGAAGAGTTAATTAAAAATATTCCTACACTTGTATCAACAAAAATAAAAAATTATTCTTAAACATTTTTTTATTTCTATTTTTCCATTCATCCTGAATATTATGCATTGAATAAGATTTAAGCATGAGAATCAGAGTGGAGATAGAAATTTATGATAAATTCTTTATCTTTTTTGTTGCTATTAATACACCAAAAGCTAAAAGTAGGTTTGGATTAGAGACAATATTTTGGAAAACACTAGTTGCACAAGGTTAAGTAATGGGATTCGATGGGATTTTGCACAAGTCATTTCTCCATTTTCTCAACTGAAGCCAGATTAATAGCTTGGAATAAAATGAGTTGAAATAACAAGTCCAGATTTTTCTCAGTCTTAGAGAAAATGAAAACAAAAGTACACTTATGCTGAGCATCAAGAAGTGACTGTTGAAATTTCTGGAGCACATAATGAAGAAAATTTGACACTCACATGACATACTGAAGGCAAGAAGGACACAGGCAACCATAATCTACTCATTGAGCGTGTGTAAATGGTTAGCAGAACAGCGTTCAGGAGGAATAGCAAAAAGAGAAAATTTTCTAATAGTTACAAAAGACAGGAAATTGTGAAGAGCTATGATTGCCAACGTCCTGACTGGAAATGTTACATAGAAAACGAAAAAGAGATTGAATTCTTGCAGAGCGTCATATATTCAATTGAGATATATATATATATATATATATATATATATATATATATATATATATATATATATCTTCTGCACCAGGCTATAGGTTAAATTCTAGTACAAAACTAGGATCCTCTTTTACTGGTATTCTTTGTATTGTTATTTGCGATTAGCCCCATCGCGGGCCATTCTGTTTATTTTAGCCTTCGTCAAGGTACTTCTTTAATTCTGTGCCTTATTACAAACAGTAAAATAACCTCAAACTCGAAATCAATCAGCAGCTGACTTAGCGCCACATCACGTTGAAACTCTAGTTCCCGTATTATAATCGCCAAGAAACGTTGAGCCTGGTTAGTACCGAGATGCCTGTTCACTTGGGAATATCAAGTTCTGGATCAAGCTTGGATTTGCGGGTGGTGTAATGGATAATGGCTGGGAAGAGTTCTAATCCCTGTTGGGTTCGTTATATTCACTTACGCACAAATACGATTCTCTCACCCCCAACCACAGCTATGGCGTAATTAGTAAGACTTGAATCACTAAAACATTATTACCTCTTCCCGTCCCCTAAAATTCTTACAATCTAAAAAATATTTTCTGGTATTAAATAACCTACGAAGAGTTGAGATGCCGTAGAAAATGAATCTATCTATCAGACAGCAGCCACAAAATATAAAATAGCACGTGATTTCCCAGATATTCAAAAATGGCTTATTCAATGAAGGTAAATCAGTACAAAATAAAGATAATTCTGAGAAAAATATTTTCTTTATTTGCTATCGCCGTTTGGTGGTTGAACAATACAAATGAAGTCATTCTCTTTCATTTTATTTCCAGATCATACTTTCTCTTTATTGATTAATACATCTATCGAAGTTATGTCAATATCTATCTAGCTGTCATGGTCAGTTCATAACCTTATATACGAGGGTCAGTTGAAAAGTTCATAGGAAGACCAAGATATTCTGACTGAATGAGATCAACTAAGATTTATTTTTCAACATTGCCCCATCTTGCAGACCACACACTTCTGTCATCGGTGTTCCAGTGTTTGGATCCCATTGGTGAAGAAGTTTTTCATCCTGTTGGTCATAAAACTCATCAATAGGATATATGATATCATTATGACTGCGATACTGGTTCATAGCTAAACGTTTTTTCAGGTTGGGGAACTGATGATAGTCAGACGAGGCTAAATCATAAAAAATAGGAAGTGATCAACGAGTTTAAAGCCACAGTCGCGTACAGCAGCCATTGAAACTAAGGACTTGTGCGTTGGAGAATTGACCTGATGAACAAATCCTCTTTAATCAAGTTTAAGGGTTTATCATGATAATCTTTCGTAACTGCTTCAGCAAGTTGGCATAGTACTCTTCATTATAGATGTGGTATATTTTAAAATATTCAATAAACTCAATACCTTTTGCATCACCAAAATTTGAGATCATCAGCTTTCGGGCAGAAAAATCTACATTTGAGGAAGGGTGTTCCCATTACATGGATTTTCTCTAGCTCAAAGTGATGAACCTAACATTTATAATGGGTTACGAAACGTTCAAGGATGCATAGTCAAATAAAATGGATTTTGCATATGCTAGTATTATTAAATATGACGAAAATACCGGAAATAATGTGTTGGCTAAATTAAGAAATGTTGTTATTTATCTTGATAAGCAACAGGGAAAAGTCTTCCACTATAAATACTATTAATAATGAAAAAATCGGAACCCTTCCTATGCTAGAAAAGAGAAGAACTTACAATGATGACGGATAGGAATATGATGAGCATATACGAACAAAAATATTACAGAGATGGTACTGAGGTATTATATGTAAAGGAAAAGGAACGTGAAAGAGGACATCAATACTGAAAGCTATTCAGTCTATTAAGGCAAAAATAGGATACCTCGAGGTGGTGTAATTGTTAGTAAGCTTGTCTCGCTAGAATAATTACGACTGAGTAGTGAGTTCGATCCTCACTAGGTGTCTCATTTTTTCGGCCATATCCAAGCTTGTTTTTAGGTTATTTAAAGTTAGAAAATAATTTTAGAATGTTTTTAGATATTAATGGTGCAGTGATACAAGTTTACCTAATTAATCCATAGCTGGTGGGAGAAGAGGTGAACTAATACCTTTCACAAGGTTATTTGCGTGTAAGTGAATATAAATAACCCAATCCACTGCTGACGTCCTAATTACCATTACACACATAATGAGTGAGGCCCTTGACGAAACACACATCGCAAGGAGTCCATAGCATTAGATATCTCGAAGGCCTTTCGACAAAAGGTGTTGTACAAAAATTTGCTCTACAAGTTCTCTATTAAATCACTGGAAGGATTTTGTCTATTATCCTTCCTAACATGTAGATCACTGAAAGTAGTTATTAACGGCCAGTACCCGAGGCCCTTGGGGATCAACGCAAGTATCGCCCAGAGGTCACCTCGGACCAACCGTCTTTCTGATTTACATAAAAGATCTACCTCCCAAAATGATGTTTCCATAATCACTATAATCTTAATCTGTTCACGTCTAGAGTCAACCATAATCTTCCCCTCATATCCATATAAACTACCCTTTAATGTAACCCTCTATATAGAGGGTCCCCATCCTGGGCTTTGTACAGGGTGAACCTTATCGTTAAAAAAAAAAAAAAAAAAATAACCTGAAATGGAACTCGGCTCTCCAAGCACCACCTGCACATCCAATCTTGTAACATCTGGTATTCTCAATGCGACCCCCCACATCTAGATACTGGCTTAGTTCGTCGTTGCTTAACTTCCATGAACATACGGGGATTGGTATTGCAACGTGATATAGCTGTAATGAAAAGTCATATACTTAATAAAGAAGAGACCACCAACAAAGAGAAATATCATTTATTATTATATTTTTATCGTTTTTAATTACTTTTCTTAACACCATCTCTTGAATCATCGTTGTCCTTTTCGTAACTAGAAATACATAATCATTATGTTTCTGTTTAAATGATCGCATTATGAAAATTCTAGTTAAATATAAACCTGAAACATTTTCATTTTTTCGAGTTTTTTTTCGTTTTTTTTTATTCACTATAGGCAGGTATTTTTTTTTGAAGACGTTAAAAATCCTACATTTTACGGTAAATACTATAAACATGAAATTATTTTGTTTGGGGTATATAAATTATTTTGTCTTGTATTTATCCCTGGACCAGTTGTTTAGGTCTTATTCTGTCCTTCTCTGATTATTCATATTTATGCTTTATATTTGTTCGTATTATTTAATCTTATTTAATCCTCCGATACATAACATATTAATGCTTTATATTTGTTCGTATTATTTAATCTTAAAAGTACCATATCTAAATTAAATATCAGATATTTTACGGCAAGTGTTTTTTTCCTCACCATTTTGTGGTAGCTCTGTACAAAAAATTAATAAAGAGCTTTTATTTGATATGTGCGCAAGATGATGTCCAGTACTGCAATATTTGACTAGGTTAGACTTGCTACTATTGCCCAGAATTTTTAGGTCGCATTATACACGAGCTATATGAAAAAATTAGTTTCTATTTTCACAAGAAATTCAAATGTTTAGTCCTTTCTTCTTGTTTTCTTGCACTATCATCTATAGGAATTTTTATAGTTTACCTTTCTGCGTCTGCTATCAACAATGTTCTGTTGTTATTAGTGTGGCTGCCAATGATAAATTCTGATAGAAATTCAAATTCTCTCATAATTGCCTCACTGTATAGGTGAGAAGACTCATCCTTGTCTTACACTACATTCTATTTATGTATATTTACTGAATTCATTTCTATCCGAATGCAGATGGTTTGCTGCCAGAATAAGTTCTGGATTATTCTAATATCCTTCCCAAATATGTCAAGGTAATCTAGCAATTCCAACAGTTCTTATCAAACGTTTTTACTTAATCTATAAAGAATAATTCTATAAATAAAATCATAAAAGTATTAGAAAAATAACAGGTTAAAAGAAGCTAGGTGAATACGAACGCGGACCCCATCTTACAAGTAACCTAATCAAGCACATAACTCAATTTATGATCCCAATTTTGATGACTTGTGCGTACATCAGAATTAGTCCTGAAATAGAACAAAAACAATGCGGTTTCTTTAGAGGCACTGGAAAAAGTAATGCGATATTTATACTCCGAATAATATCAGAAGGAGCAATATAAATTCAAAAGGACATATACCTATGTTTTACAGATTATTTAAAAGCGTCACAATGAACTATTTGAACTGCTAGGTAAGCTTGA